TTCAAAAGTACATATTTATTTTTATATATATATATATATATATATATATATATATATATATATATATATATATATATATATATATATATATTCTAAATAATGGAGGAATATCGCAAGTGGACGAAGAAGGAACGAGGAGGATTGAGAACTTTGTCGTAATGAATAGGCCGATATAAAAAAAATATTCCGGTATCCGTCAGACGTCGAGTTCTTTCCGGTAGGTTACCGTTAAAGCCTATTAAAGTCCATTGCTGAATATAGGCCCCCTACATGGATTGCCTCATAGGCGGGATATTTGCCATAGTTGCCATGCTTGGGAAGCGGGTTTTTGATTTTTAATCGTTATTAGGAAGATGCTACTGCCAATCTCCCGATTTGTTTCCCTCTGTCGGCTCTTACGACACCCACGGGATGATATGGGGTAATAGATATTCTTACACATCCACTACTCGGTTCCCTACTTTCCGGTACTTTTCGGTAATTTAAAATTTATTAGTAACTCTACCACAACGCTACCCATCAGTTCTTTTTGGCACTCAACCAACATATATTGTGAACTAGCATCCCGCCCCGACTAGGATTAGTTAGGATCTATTAAAGACTAAAGTATTTAGTTTAAAGATAAATAAAGAACATTCATATTTTTAATTTTTTTCAAAAAAAATTACCTCCAAGTTCATCGGATAAAATACAGCCTTGATTACTCCTGGCATGGCTCTCTATCTGTTCATGAAGTTTTATTACAATAAGTTCAGCCGTTCCGAAAATGAGCCCGGAAAGACTGACAAACAAAATTTAAAAAAAAAACGCTATTTCATATCTTAATGGCATTGAAATAACTCCATCAATTAATACTAATATAAAGTAGTTATTTCAATATTTCAGACAGACACTTAAATATCGTTTCTAGCCATGTATATGAGTTATTTCAGTACATAAATATAGAATTTGTATAGTTTAGCAATGAACCAACTTCTCCACGAAACAAATATATTTTAGTTAATATGACCTCAATCGGTCCAGTCGATCAATATTTACACGATCACTAACAGACGAACAAAGAACTAATATTTTTAAAACACAGTTATTTTGTGCGATAGAACTGTCCATCTTCGTGCGTGAGACTTCAGTTTTTTGACGTGGTAGAACTACGCTGCAGCTATATTATGGTTGTAGCACGAATGGTCGCCTCGACCGGGAAAGCACCACCTTCTCACAGAATACCACACAGAATACCAGCATAAAATTGCAGCTTAATGCTGCTGTGTTTCGTATGGTGAGTGTAGACAACTGGAAACCCTTTTTACTGGAAACCAGGAATTCCATCTTAGTCCTCAGGGTTGATGACGTACCTGCATTTTAATTCTTTCATCCTTAATTGAGGATAAATGTGGATAAATGAGTCACATCATTCACTTATCGTCAGGTAAACAACGTACACTGTGTGCTCGTTTGCCATCCACATTCTATATAAAATAAAGAATATCCGAAATTCCTAAGACATTAGCATATAAATTATCTTTAGAAAACTTGAGAAGCCGTGTAACTTCACGCGCTACACGTTCTCCATAAATATCATAGTAATACTAAATATTTCGAATTCAAACCCCGACAACAGCAATGAAATCATTCATCGCAATTTTACGTGCGGATTTACTACGTGCTCGGCGGTGAACAAAAACAAAGTGCTTCATAACCCTTATCAAATCACCAGATGGAATTGTGGTCAAGCACTGGCTTATAATAAGCTAAAAAATATATAGTTTCAGAAATTATTCACAAAATTATTTAAATATAAGGATATTACTCGTATTAGAAATTATTCTGGAGGTTAATTATTAATGTAAGAGCGGATATTCACCTTGTTCTCTTGCTTATGCAATTAATCATTATCAGGAAAAAGACAGCGTACTGCACTTTACAACAGTATAGAGCAAATACAGTTCGACCATACCGTAACATGTCCCCGTCACAATCACACATTGGTGTAAGGTGTAGGACAAAATTACATGATAACACCAAAGTATGCAAAACAACAGCAACACTACCCATCTCAATGTATCACAGGGCAGCCTTTCAGCAACACGATCTTCCTTGCTTACACTAGAAGAACTACTTCAACGAACAGAACCACGACACCTGTCTTACTTAGGCAGAGTCTTAGCGTGTAGGTGATGTTTTACCCGTAGAATTACCGACTGATCCGTCTTAGTCGCCTGCGTGATACTTTATACCGCTAGAACGGGTGGGAGTACAGTTCTACACTCATTTCTTCATATTTTCTTTTATTTTTTTACCCCCATTGCTAATAAGAGATTTGTCCTTATATGTATGTGAAGCCTATGTTTAGCCGTGGACTTTCGATCGGCTGTAATTAATGAATGTTTAATTTTCCTCATGAGCGTTTAACATAGTTTTGAAGAAAAATAATTACCATAATAAATCGATTACACAAAGTACAAAATCGATATAGACTGTATACACATTACATTTGTCCTTTGTCTATCAAGGGCTAAAGAAATATACATATACCAATAAAACTTATAAAATTTGAAAATCATTTTATTAACAAACAACGCGTACTATTGATATGAAATAGGGAACCAGTTGATGTAATTCTGAAGCTAATAAAAAAAAACCGGTCTCGATAAGTCGATTTTTTCGGGAGTTATAGTGACCATATTTAAAATCAATATCAGGACGTCCACGTAAATTTTTTTTCAAACTATTTTTATCAAAGTAGCAATATAAAACGATTTTAAAAAATTACAAGATGGATTAATTAGTTTGTTTTCTTGATATACGGCTACTCATACTATCGTATAAGTGCAATATGGTTATGATAGAAACATTTTAAGACCACAAAATTGATGGACCTTGACGTGTCGAGTGTAATGCATTACCTAATAACGCTTCGCGAAATTCCGTTTTCCTATCGGACAACGGAAATATACCATACTAAAAGGTGAATCGTAATTACCACAATTACAGATATAGTTTGCTCTTAAAAACTGGTGATTCATGGCCAAAAAGAGAACAAACTAGTTAATCACTATACTTTTTCACATATAAAACATTAGTAAGGTCTTAGTTCGAAAATCATGTAGGAAAGAAAATGTGAAAGAATCATTAAACAGATTTTCATTTAATGTCACAAGGTTTACGAGCTAGCGAAGTCACGGAATGCACGTGAGGATAGCGTTGGGTCATTAAACGTTGTCTACACGCATTTTACGAGCGACAGTGCCGGGCGGGAGAACTTTTAAATTATGTTCGTTTAATTTGTTGCAATGCACGTCGAATCCCTGAAAAGTTGTCGCGTTTATTTCAACTAGAAATTATATGCATACTGCGTTGGCAGTCAGAGCAGTCAATGACCAAAATTATTTCAAAAATAGACCCGAAGACAGGAGTCATAGAAGAAATCGCTAGGCTTAAGTTTCACAGGATGTGAAAAGTCATTATGTTGTGGTGTGTGAAAAGTACTATAATTCGAAATTTGACATACTAACTACAGCGGCGAAAGAACTATTCTTGCGTTCTTAACGCTTTTAGAATTGATGCACAACGACACATAACAGGTTGTTGTTACATTGATTTTACTACAATATGCGGATATTTAATATTTCCTCAATGATCAATGATGGGTCTACAGTCTACGCTCCCCGTAGAATATTTTAGCACGTTTTTATTAAGTCACTTTCTTGTTTGTATGACTGTCTGTCTGTCTGTCTATCGTTCCTGGTGGAATTTAGTAATCTATTTTAAGCTAACTTCCCGATGAGCTACAAACTGGAAATTTTAAATATAACACAAATTCGGACGACAATGCAAGAATATAATAAAAACGTGGTATATTAAAAAAAATATATACGAATTAAAAAAGATGTCACTTGTTTAGAAGTGGACTTTTGATAGGATGTAATGAATTAATTAATCAATCAGTCCTAAATAAATAACCGAAAAAGATTTGAGACAAAGTAGTGAATTCCAAATTATGATGTTATTTACTAATTTATAATGATGTGAACTACGCAATTATGAGAAATAAAGAGCATAATATCTCCCACACTGATTCATTACCTTCCCATCTTGCGTTAAGGAAGTGACACCATTAACCCTTCCCACCTACGTCACAAATGTATTTCTGAAGTCAATCGTACATACTGAAGGCGCCGGTCTAAACAGCATACATAATTTATATGCATATGTTACACCTAGTTCTAGTCGGCTAGAACTATATTCTATTTATATTCTATTCTATTCTATCCGTCTTGGTCGTCGAAGGTGACGACGCATCTTTATGTGCCTTCTTTTATTTGAAGTTGGTTGCGAACTTGCCAAGTGTTCATTTGCTGCAGTAACCACTTTTGTCTGTTCAATTTCATAAAAAAAAAAGAATGAAGGTCAAGCTTAAAGTGACTGCGCCTCTCGTTAATGTTTACACCTTCAATACTGCGCCAAGAGGCAGTTTGTAATACGCACATATCCTTCAGTGATTCAGATCAAATTAATATGATAGAAAGAGAGCGTAGAGAAAATAAAACAAAAGTACTTTATTTTTTACGAAATAAATTGAGAATAGCGGTGTAGGCGACCACTAGTTTGAATTTATCTTATAAGAGCCCATCAATGTAGGTGCCACCCGCCTTATTGTCACCAAAGAATAATGTCCTGCCACTGTGTACAAGACCAGTGTAAACATAGCCTGAGGTAGCTCTAAATAATTTCTCGTAGTTGACAATACACTTGTAGATTCATTGAAGTTGCTTTCGGGTAGCCTGCAATAGCCACTCACCATCTGTTATATTGTTTGTCATATTGTATTTATAGTGAAAAAGCAACTCAATACGTTTAAAATTATCCTGCTGAAAAATCTTTATGCGTACAAATATTTCTTAAACTTACCTTGATATTTGTTAGCTACTACGGAGTCCATAAGAATACCAAGAGCTCTGCTTAAATCTGTATGGAAAGCAAAATATTTAAGCACAACATACCCCAATAGCGCCGTGGTTGCCCAAAAAACGTTTCTGTTTCCCGTCCACCTGACAGGCGAGCGAGTTCAGCAAATAGATGGCGATACGCTGCACGAAGCCTTCTTGATTGACATCAGCAACACCGTTCAACAGGATCTGGACCACTCGCTCGTATTCGAACAGCTAGGAGGGAAAGAATTGTATTTACCATATGTACTATATGACATTCATAAACAAAAAACTACTGTGTAAAATTAAAATAACGGCCTACATTCATCACCAAACAAGCCTATCAATTCTATGGTTACTAACCCTGCTAATTGTGGCAACTATGGCAAAAACTTCGGTTAACATCTTCAGTACTGTTGTTGGGATCAGACTGGAGTTATCGGGTACTACCAAATTTAGGACAAACACTTCCATGAACTACCCATAGCTCCATCTGGATACCATTTTCTCGTGTATTTGAGCCATTAAGGAACAGTTTTAGGGTTGGCTACAGATATCCGGTACTTGATTTTAATTATGTTTTCAGTTTATTAGGCTTGTCTGGGCTAAGCATGGCCCTTTTACACTGTTTTTGAATGTCGGGAATGAGTTTTGAATTAAGTGCGACAAAAATAAATTTCCGTTCCGTATAACGAAACGCAAATATCACATTTTGTATTGTTATGAGATTAGATATCAAAAACCGATGTAAAAAAGTGTGAAACGGGACGGTGTTGACGGCGATAATTTAGGCAACCGCAAATGTCAAATATAATATATTATCTATGACGTCAAATGTCAATTGTCATTTCGTTTCTCTAGTGGTCACGCGAACGTTCTCGCATGTGCTTGGTGCTGTGTTTTCACTGTTTTTGCGACGACTTCTGCTCTATTTTTGACCTTTTTTGATTTGATTTAAAATTACATTGTTTCATTTACCACTATCATAGCCGAGTTTAGGGAAACCTGACTTTATAAATAAGATAGATCGAATCTGTACTAAAACTGAATCAGAACACCCCGAATCCACGTAGTCTTGTCTGCCCTACCCCTAGAGTGTTTTTGTAAGCCATAGCCATAGGCGCGGAGGGAGAGTCGTCCCCTCCCGCTGTTGCAAATCGCAGGCCCCTGTGTGAGCTTAGCTTTCCATTGACTCCCGTCGAGTTGGGGGTTGATACGTATTTTACAGAAAAGTTACACTATTATAAGCACACACACAAAGTTACAACATGCGGAAACGCGTAATTTTTGAGAAAAAAAGTAATTGAAAATCAATTAAGTCTATATCTAATCCTACCATAAAACTGACGCCAATTTGTAATGTCATTGTCGTCAGTAAGGATGTCGATTCTTTCCGAAAAAGGTCGATTTTTAAATCGATTCAAATCGTAAGCTGATGTATCGATTCACAAAAAATTGATTTCTAAAATATCTATATTTTTTATGTTTGCATTTATAATGTAAATATAATTCCATTTTATGAAAAACAAGAAAGATACCATAATAAATGATCTCTTATTGAAATTTGTTTTATTTTAACCGTACCAATTAGGGCAGATAACAAATAAAATAGGTTAGGTTCAACTTATGTCAAAGAACCGAATTGATTGACCCAGACTCCACCTGGTACGAGTCTGTCCTACCCTTAGAGTGGTTTTAAAGAGCCGGAGGCGCGTAGGGGGAGCAGCCTCCGTCTGCTGTAACAAATCGTAGGCATCGGACGAGCCGGAGCGGCTGAGGCTGGTCGCTGAAGGCGACCAACAAGCCGAAGCTGCGGAGGCGAGGAGGGATGCCTGCGATTTGTTACGCTAAGGCATAGAGGCTGCTCTTCCCGCAGCGCCGGAGACTTAGCAGTCTCAAAATAGATACAGAAATTCTTCTGAATCAGTCCCCCTATATTTTATGATGAAGGGGATTTTTTTTCTCATAAAATGGATTTATATTTACATTATAAATGCAAACATGAAAAAAATATAGATATTTTAGAAATCAATTTTTTGGGAATCGATACATCAGCTTACAATTCGAATCTATTTAAAAAATCGATCTTTTTCGGAAAGAATCGACATCCTTACTGACAATAACAATAAAAAATGGCGTCAGTTTTATTGTAGGATTAGACATAAACAATGCAAGAATAATTGATTTTCAATAACTTTTTTCTCAAAATTTACGCGCTTCCGCATGTTGTAGCTTTGTGTGTATGCTTATAATAGTGTAACTTTTCTGTAAAAATATGTATCATCCCCCAACTCGATGGGAGTCAATGGAAATTCGTACCCCTGTGTCAGCCGTGGTGGCTGAGACTGGTCGCCGAAGGTGACCAATAAGCCGAAGCTGCGGAGGTGGGCATGGGTGCCTGTGATTTGCGGTAAGCATGGGCGAAGGGGCTGCACTTCCCGCAGCGCTGAAGCCGTTGCAGAAGTAACTTTGTGTCAATATTCCTGTGTAAAAAAGTGAGGTTAAGATTTTGCAAAAAAAAATATTAATAAACTATACATTTCCGCATGGGGGTAGGGTAGAGGAGGCTTCCCCTGAACCCTCCCGCTCCCCACTCCCACCCCCGTACGCAAGTACCGGATGTCTATAGTTTAACCCAATTTTACATCCCTATTCTAATTTAAATGAATTAACAGTTGGTGTAACTACAGGATGTAAGGCATTTTTCGTTCTTAGATGACAACCATCTAAAATATATCTTTGGAGTTAATTGCAGGTGTCAATGTAACTAATATTCTCTTAAACACTTTAATCTTGGCTTTCCATTGCATTACAAATATTTTAAAACAATTCGATAGTTTATACACAATATTTTTTCGTGTTTGAAAAATTGTTACACCAATATCAATTTCTTCCGCATCATTGGAGATTTACAAACTGCACATGGTATTATACAATAAAAAATTATTTGAACAGATCCCTTATTCTCTCTTTGACAACATATAAAATAGAAATATAATATTAAGACATTTAACTAACCACATCAACTGGTATCTTGAACTGACAAAGTGTGAGGCAGCCGTTTCTCATCATAGTGTCATCTCCTAGATGCGCTTCCATACCATCGAGCAATGCGGTTATTATGCGACGCTTCAATTTAATGCCAATGCGTGCCTTCTCCCTTCCTTTGACGATATAGAAGAGGGTAGCACTAAAAAATAAGGTTTTAAATGTAAAAGCAAATGTTAATTCAATTTAGGTTTGCATTATGCTCTTATTGCATTAAGAATCTACATGGTTCTGAAAACAAAAATTTCTCATAAAAGGACCTACAAGAAACTCTTTAATTATTTTTAAATACCATGTGACAATTTAGTTTAACAATCTTAATTGTATAATAATATTATTTAAATCTCAATTTTTAACAATAATATATCACTTGCATGTGCAGATTGAGAGTTATTTTCACACACCATTGTCCACAATATTTTACTTATACTTGTGTCTGTTGCACTATATTTTCAGAGATTTTAATATCGAATTTTATTCATTTACCTAATCCGAACAGATTACCTAGTTTTAGAATTCAATCTAAATTTATAAGCCTCTAGCTTATTATCTCAACAAATTCTACCCCTTTGTTAAATATGTTGATATTTTTACCTTGGGTATTTTGAAATTTGATGAGATGCTGTTTGATATTTTAAATTTTTAAGAAACTCTCCCTATTTCAATCCTCCATGGGTTCAAAAGGTTAAAACAGGATGATGTTTCCTTTTAGCAAACTTACCTTCCTGAGATTTGAATATGTTTCTCTGAAACATGTTGATCCATTGCATCCAACACAACAGTAAGCGCACGACCGACATATGCATTATTTTCATAGCGAAATAGGTAGTAAAGATCATTAAGCACACGAGTAAGCATTGCTGGACGTTCCATGTAAGCCATGGCAGCAGTCAAAATCTGTTCCTCATTAGCATCGCCTGAGATCTATGACAAAATAAACAATGTTTTATATTATAAAAAGTTTACACCTACAACCTAAAAATTTACATTTATTTTTTTTCCTTTATTTATATTTAATTCAAGCTGACAAAAAGAATTGATTTTAAAAATTACTGAGAATGCTTTCTATTTAAAAAAAAATAAGCAAAAGCCATACATTTGATTTCTAAACTGAATCATTTAGAACAGAAAGAAGTAGATATTTAATTGAACACTTGGAAGTACTTTTGAATACATGGAATATTATAACTAATAGTTTCCAACAGTTTCTAAAGATGCAGTTTTAGTTTAATCAGTCAGAAAAAAATTTGAGCTTCGTTTGTTGCCTCTACAAACGATTTTATATTTTTCCTATTCACATCATATCTCATCAATAGTATTTTTGATGCAATAGTATTTATGCATGCATGGGCTTTTATGTGAATGCATCGGCAGACATGCATGGGCAGGGCAGAGGCAGTAGAGTCCAAGGGGGAGGCATTAGCCGTTAGTTTGGACATAGCGAAGGCTTTCGATCGGGTCTGGCACAAAGTGCTTATGTACTGTTTCTCCTGCATATCAATGATATGTTACCAACTGGTAGCATTCATTGCTATGGCAGACGACAGCACTGGTGATGCCTTATATACCGGCCGTGCCAATATTTCTCGGGAAAACGTCGCTGAGTACCGGGACAAACTTGTGTCTGAAGTCGAGTTTTTGCTTAACAAAGTCTCGGATTGGGGCCGACTAAATCTAGTCCAGTTCAATCCCCAGAAGACACAAGTTTGCGAAAGAGCCCCTTAGTCGTATTTCATCAGTTTCAAGGCACTCCCCTTGCTGCCTCAGCTAGTATCGGAATCCTTGGCGTCGACATATCGAATAGTGTGCAGTTTCGTGGTCACTTGGAAGGGAAGGCCAAATTGGCCTCTAAAAAGCTTGGCGTGCTCAGCAGAGCGAGACAGTATTTCATGCCAGCACATCGCTTGCAACTTTACAAAGCGCAAGTTCGGCCCCACATGGAATACTGTTCTCATTTCTGGGCCGAGGCACCCCAGTGCCAGCTCCTTCACTTGACCGCATCCAGCGCAGAGCGGTTCGAATCGTCGACGACCGAGTTCTTTCTGATCGGCTCGATACACTGGCACTGCGTAGAGATGTTGCATCTCTTTGCGTATTTTATCGCATCTATCACGGGGAGTGCTCTGAGGAATTGTTCTGACTAATTCTAGCCATGTAGCTTTGCCGTGTAGTGGCGGTCAAGAATACCACTACCCCATATCCTCCCGTGGGTGTCGTAAAAGGCGACAAAGGGAAACAGGCAGGAGATGGGCAGCAGCATCTTCCTGATAATAGCCAAAATAACAATAAAAAAACTGCGGTTGCCAACCCGCTCGCCAAGCGTGGCAACTATGGCAATATACCCCCCATAATGAGAGTTACGAAGAGACGGCCCCCAGTCCCCGGCGGCCCCGCTATTTCTGGCTACGGTGGCGACCATGGTAACGGCGGGGCAGGGGGTGCTAAGAATCTCCGGTGGAGGTTCGGTTGCCACCTTAGACGACTCGACCTGGCAACGTACAACGCACGCACCCTGAGGACTGACGAGAAGATCGTGGAGCTGGAAGAAGAGATAGACAAGTTGCGCTGGCATATTATAGGATTATCCGAAGTCCGAAGAGAGGGGGAGGACACGGTAATCCTCGAATCCGGCAACTTGCTCTATCACCGGGAGGGCGACCATCTGTCCCAAGGAGGTGTCGGATTTATCGTCCACAAGTCTCTCGTTAACAACGTTGTAAAGATCGGGAGTGTGTCGACGAGGGTTGCGTACCTTATACTCAGAATCACCAAACGGTATTCGCTGAAGGTCATACAGGTTTACGCACCAACCTCGGCACACCCCGATGGGGAGGTGGAGGAAATGTATGAGGATATCTCTAGAGCCATGCATTCCTCCAAAACCCAATATACGGTGTTAATGGGAGACTTCAATGCAAAACTAGGCACAAGAGAGAACGGTGAGCTGAAAGTAGGGAAATTTGGAATAGGGCAACGGAACCCAAGGGGCCAGCAGCTGACCGACTTCATGGAGAAAGAGGGACTCTTTATGATGAACTCTTTCTTCCAGAAGCGGCCCCACAGGAAGTGGACCTGGTCGAGCCCCGACGGTTCGACAAAAAATGAGATTGACTTCATTATGACGACCAGACGACAACTGTTCAGTGATGTCTCCGTGATCGCGAGGGTGAAAACTGGTAGCGATCACCGAATGGTTAGAGGCACACTGAACCTAAACGTTAAGTTGGAGAGGTCTGGTCTAATGAAGTCAACGCTCCGTCCCCCTCGTGCTCTGTTCCAAAGTCCCGAAACCTTTCAGCTCGAGTTACAAAACCGTTTTCAGTGCCTAGAAGACTGCAATGAAGTGGACGATATGAATGACAAGCTCGTGGAAACTGTCCATGCGGTCGGAGCTAAGTTCTGCAAGACCCGCCGCAGAAGAACACAAAAACTCTCCGATCACACTCTTAATCTCATGGCTGTTAGACGGGAGATGAAGCTACATTCTTCAACAGACTTGACAGCATACAGGCATCTGAACAGACAGATCTCCAAATGCATGCGGCGGGACTTACGCAACTTCAATACAGCTCGTATTGAAGAAGCGATCGAGCGGAACCAAGGCTCCAAAGTCTTTGCCAGAGATCTGTCTGCCAGAAAGAGCCACCTGTCAAAGCTGAAGACAGAATGTGGCAGCATCGTTTCCGGGACACCTGAGATTTTGAGTGAGACTGAGAGGTTCTATGGGCAGCTGTACACGTCATTGTTGGAGCCACACGCAAGTGTGAGTAACGATCCAAGAGCGAGTCTCATCCGACACTATTCCGAAGATATCCCGGACGTCAGTCTAAGCGAGATTAGAATGGCTCTCCAGCACCTTAAAAACGGTAAGGCCCCAGGCGAGGATGGAATTACAGCGGAGCTTCTGAAAGCGGGTGGAAGACCGGTACTTGAAGTCCTTCAGAAGCTCTTTAATTCCGTCCTCCATGGTGGCATTACACCGGAGGCGTGGAGCAGAAGTGCGGTGGTCTTGTTCTTCAAGAAAGGTGACAACGCTCTCTTGAAGAACTACCGACCGATTTCCCTTCTGAGCCGCGTCTACGTGCTGTTTTCGAGAGTCATTACGAATCGTCTCGCGCGCAGACTTGACGACTTCCAGCCTCCCGAACAAGCCGGTTTCCGAAAGGGCTTTAGCACCATAGACCACATACATACCCTTCGGCAAATTGTACAGAAGTCCGAAGAGTACAATTTGCCACTATGTCTGGCGTATGTGGACTATGAGAAAGCCTTTGATTCCGTCGAAATTTGGGCGGTGCTGCAGTCCCTTCAGCGGTGCCAAGTTGACTGTCGGTATATCAAAGTGTTGAAGTGCTTGTACAGTAGGGTTACGATGGCTATCCGAGTACAGAACCAGAGTACGAAACCTATCCAATTGCAGAGAGGTGTAAGACAGGGTGACGCTATATCCCCGAAACTCTTCACCGCTGCATTGGAAGACGTTTTCAAGCTTCTGGACTGGAAAGGATACGGTATCAACATCAATGGCGAGTACATCACTCACCTTCGATTTGCCGACGATATAGTCCTTATGGCAGAATCGCTGGAGGACCTAAGCACTATGCTCAATGACCTCGATAGTGTTTCCCAACGGATAGGTCTTAAGATGAACATGGACAAAACAAAGATCATGTTCAATGTCCATGTCACACCTATGCCGGTAGTTGTTGGGAGCACTAAGCTCGAAGTTGTTGACGAGTATGTTTACCTGGGACAAATAGTCCGACTAGGTAAGTCCAACTTCGACCGAGAGGTCAATCGACGGATTCAACTCGGCTGGGCAGCGTTCGGGAAGCTACGACACATCTTCTCGTCAGACATACCTCAAAACCTGAAAACGAAATTGTACAACCAGTGCGTGTTGCCAGTGATGACTTATGGAACTGAGACGTGGTCCTTCACTGCTGGCCGTATGAGGAAGCTCAAGGTCGCTCAGCGAGCTATGGAGAGGGCTATGCTCGGAGTTTCTCTGCGTGATAAACTTAGGAATGAGGATATCCGCAGTAGAACCAGAGTAACCGACATAGCCCAACGGATTAGTAAGCTGAAGTGGCAGTGGGCCGGCCATATAGCTCGAAGAACCGACAACCGATGGGGAAGAAAGGTTCTCGAGTGGCAGCCTCGTACCGGTAGGCGAAGTGTAGGGCGTCCCCCCACGAGATGGAGTGACGACCTGGTAAAACATGCAGGAAGTCGATGGATGCAGGTGGCTCAGGACCGTGCTTTGTGGCATTCTTTGGGGGAGGCCTATGTTCAGCAGTGGACTTATGAAGGGCTGTAATGATGATAATGATGATTTTAGCCGCTCAATTTCACCATCGCACATCGCGACAAAACTCGCGTTACCATCCATACCATCTGGGTGAGTGGCGGTCCACCACTGTGCGATTTGGAAGAAGTTTTCTCCCTCGCACAACTTCCTTGTGGAATCAATTACAACCAGCGAATTTTCCGGACCGATACGACTTAGGAACCTTCAAGAAAAGAGCTTACACCTTTCTAAAAGGCCGGCAACGCATCTGCAATTTCCCTGGTGTTGCGGTTGTTCATGGGCGGCGGTAGTCACTTACCATCAGGTGAACCGCATGCTCGTTTGCCCCTCTTCTATAAAAAAAAATGCATAACATGGAACATTTGCCAATATTCATCACAACAGACTCATGGGTTGGTGATTGCAGGACCTTACCTATCTTACTACTTTATTCCCTTGCATTACTAAAGATAGTCTCCATTATCAATCTGTTAAATTTGCGTTTCTTTTTTCGTTTTTGATTGACGGCTTTGTAGCCCAGTGGCTAAGGGTTTGGTTCTACCACTGCTGGGCCCTGGGTTCATATCCCACTTGGAACAATTGATTCTATGGCCTACAAATAATTGTTCCAGGTCTGGATTTTTGTCCATGTGCAATTTATGTATATAAACCGTCCTTTACAATACTAGAGGAAATCCTAGTGTACTTATTGTGTTACATTGTAAAACTCTTAAAGAAAAAAGAAAAGAAGAGTGAATTTTACGCCATCTATTCGTCACTACAACCTATCCTTCAAAAAGCAGCTTGCACTGCATATAAGTGATGTATTGTTAATTAACCTAGGTCAAAAAAGAGAGAAGTTCTATATTTGATGCATGTTTTATGTATTTTTACAGATTTTTGGAGAACAGAGAGAGTAATTAATAATATCATATTTTAATAAATTATAATTTAGTAAATTTAAATGTTTTAATTTAAATGTTTCTTTTTTTAAGTTGAAGAAAAAATCCAACCCAATGTAGTGTGTGTCTGTGTGATATTATAGATGTTACCTTGAGCTGTGATATTGTTTGGACAACTCGGATAAAAAAAATTACATTTAATAAAATTAATAAACCCACTTCAAAAATAATAAAATCTGAAGTTGAGGCTTTACTCTTCAAAAGACTACTTCAGAAGCTATTATGTGGCTTCCAAGTTAGAAAAAATAGGAAAAAGAGAAAGTAAAAGATCTTTAATAAAATGTACATTTGTTTTAGTCACAGGTTAAAACCTAAATTAGTTAGTAGGTGGTAAGATTTCTTCTCTGTGTAGGAGTGCATTTGGTTGGGTATCGTCATATTGCCCATTTGTGATACACAATAGCAGCGCTTGCAAGCTGTGTTGTGTTTCTGTCTGAAGGCAATAAAGAGCTAGTGTAATTACAGGCTATGAGGCAATTCATATTGGTGTTCTCAGAGTTGCAACACATCTGTAACCATCTTTGTTTGGCGTTAGGTGTCCATGCACTGCAGTAGCCACTTACTGTCAGATAAGTAAAGTTATTTGTTTGCAAATTCAGTTTTATAAAAAGAAATTTCAAATTCCTAATTATAAATAGTTTAGGTTTTGAGATAGATCAAATAACATTTAACATAAATTAAAAATTTTAAAACCTCCCAAAACAAAAAGAGCTGATGATCTTCAAAAGACTGAAAAGATTTTCTTGAATCATAGCTAAGAACACTCTCGATCAAGTCACCTTTCAAACAAAAACCTAAATATAAATCGGTTCATCAGTTTGAGAGCTACGATGCCACCGGCAGACATATAAGACACATGTTAATCATATTGTTTGCATCAGGGGTTAAACAACAGTTTAAAACTGATAACTTTGAAGACATCCAATATCTTTTGGAAGGTAAAAATTTTGGAAGGTAAAAAGAACAAAATATACTTTCTTTTTTCTCTAGCCAATGTCAAAAGGTTAAAAAAAATTTAGGGCTCCTTTTTCATGCATAGGACCACTTCTAATAATAATTTCATTGGCTTTCTAATTCATCATATTTAGTTTTGGGTCAACTTACACGTAAATCTGGCTTAACGGGAAGCAAATCAAGAATAATTTTACACAAAAACCAACAAACCACAAGTAGAACAAAAAGCAATTAATGGGAGATTAAATTTCAGACTGCCTGATTTAGGGATTACAACATTCTACCTTAATACATATTTTAAAATAAACTAAAATGTTTAAAAAAATCCTTTTATATTGTATAACAACTTACTTTTATATTGATTGTGTAACTTGCATTACTGATTAAATTATACAAAAGAATTTAAAAAAAAGAATTAATTACCTACAAGCTGTCTTCAGTTAAAATAATGCAGAATTAATCAACTTCTTTAAGTTATTTACAATATTTTGAAATCACTTGTGCAAGGATTATTATGAAATAGCTTTAGCAAATTAAAAAAGTTAAATTTATAACTGAATAAGTCAATTATGCACAAATACCTGCAACTTATTTTTTAAAAACTTACCACTTTAGCAGGGATATCATGTCTTTTGCAAGCTCCATGATGAGTTCCGTACAAGCCTAGGAACTCTAAAGGGTTGTTAACCCTACTCACAAGCCCTGGTATATCACAACGAACATGAACATCTGGTATTTGACCAGACGAACTTTCCTTGACAATTGAAACTGATGCTGCTCCAGACCCAGCTAAATTAGTGCCTGATATGTCCAACGATTGAAGATGTGGCAAACTAGTCACTATTGTAGACAATACTTCATTTGGATTATAATATTTTCCATGTCTCTCATTTGAATGGGATAAATCCAAGTGTCTCAGTGACTGGAGAGTTGTAATCCAATCTATGATTTCCTTTGACCAGAGAACATTGTGCAAAATAAGTGACCTTAAGTTTTTCAGCTCATGTAACGCACATGTGGACACAGTTGATGTAAATTCAGATAGATCTAGATGTGTCAAGTTCTTTAGTGGCTTTAACAGAAGTAATGGAAATATAGTCAGCCCGCGACATTGTATAGTCAGCTGCCTTAAGTTGGGCGCATCAATTATATGTCCTCTTTGACGTAGGTGCCCTTCTTCTTGAGAAAGGACATATGTAAGTGGACCAAATTTTAGAGACACCAAACGGTCGCTGTTTATATTAATTATATCCAGTGATGCCTGTGACAAGTACTCACATTGCACCAATTCTACACTGTAGGGCCTATGGACCATGAAGCAGCGTAGACCCTCATCTGTGATACGAGAATTTCGTAATTTCACGCGGTCGAGTCTTGTTCGGGATCGATCGCGAAATAAGTTTGCAATGTTATCGTTCACTCGGTTTTTCTTTTGATAAGTCTGGATGAATTTTTCGCATAATTCAGCAGGTAATATTATATCATCTTTAAGTTTACGCCAGCGACTGGTGGGATCCAATGTCGTAATTGTGTTCAGATTGGCCACTATGTAATCCATACAAATATCCAGGAGAGAATCAGGTGAGCTGTCGTAGAGCGAAAATACTTCTTGATCAGACGTCATTTTGGCTGCGGTAAGGATTTTCTTTTATAATATGGAAAAATTACACACGAACTGTGGCACCATTTCACTAGTTTATTCTCGAAAATCGTATAAGTCTGCTAAAATTGCCATATGGCTCATTTTGCAATAAGTATTTTGAGACGTCGCTGTACACAAATATTAATAAACTGTTAAAATACACACGAACGGAAGCAAATTTTCGCAAACGCAGCTACAAGTACAATGTGAGAGAGAAATTGAAGTTTTTGATATGACAACATTAACATTATTACCTAATAAAAATATTAAATAAATAATTATTTTTTATTATAATCACTTACATTATGTATAAATTATTTTTATAGATTTCTAAAACCTTAAAACTTTAGTGATATATATTTAAGAATAACCTGGAACTCAACACATTATTAAATTTCCCTACATATAATAATACCAAAAATACTGCAAAAATTATTTATGAAAAGTGTTAAAATAGAAATATGAAATTTACATTTAAAAAAAAACTTATTCATGACAAATTAATCTAAAGTAAATGTGTTATTTGAAGATTATGATTGATAACAAATAAAACACACTAAATCCATAATAAATTGAACTTATTAAACAACTACTTGTGCCAAACACTAAAAAGTACTAAGTGCACTAACACACAAACTGCCTGATCTCGTCTTCTAAGCGTTAAAAAATACTATGTGCATGGCACTAACACACAAACTGCCTGATCTCACGTCTTCTAGGCGTTTAAATTTCAAATTGTCAATTTGCACTGGTAACACACATCCGAAATGCAATTTGTCCATAGCTATGAGTTTGTCATATTAAACCAAAATCAATAATTGCATGCAACTTCGCATTAATCATTTTGATACCTATTTCACAAATTTAAACAAAGGTTTTAAACACAAACAAATTCTTTTGAGATTTAAATCTAATATATAAAAATTAATATTTGTTTATTCGTATTTTATGCGCTGCCGTACCGTTCATCGGGTTGTGTTAAAACTTTGTCAACATATTACCAGCACTTCCGCTAAGGTCATAGGCATAGTTAGACCCGGTAGTTGGCGCTATTGTAGAATCCAAATGTCACCCGTACGAAGCCAGGACAGATCGCTAGTCTAATATAAAAAAATAATGTTTGTTTGTTTGTTCGTATTTTATGCGCTGCCATATCGTTCACCAGATTGCGGTAAAACTTTGTCCATTTATTCCTTGCACTTGAGGGAAGGTCATACGCATAGCACTATATATATTAAACCGCGTATCGATTTCGCGCTCCTGGCGCGCGCGTCATGAATGACCAGGCTGACCCGTGCGATGCATGCGGCGCGTTCCACATGCTCAAAGTGTATCAACTAAGCGCGCCTGGCGTGCGCGGCAGCCGTTCAATTGTTTGACCGTTCAACATGGATGTTGGTCGTATACGAACAGCTGCCGCTTTCATAGTTCCATGCATCTTCTCTGAGCGCTTTATTATGATAAAAATGACATTTGCTATTCCACAGCAGTTATTTTGAACCCAACGAATATCCGCATTATGAAAACAACCGTCCCAACTGGCTCGCGCGCCAAAACTTAACTAACCGCGTATCGCGTGTAAAAAACCGACACAAGATGGAACAGTCCGCTCTACGTTTTAGCGTTCCAACGGATAATTTAACGCATGTTCCAAGCCAACCAAGGACCATTTTCCCATTTATGGCACAGCATTCCATCCTGAATCAGCAAGTCCCATCGGGCCCAATAGCTTTTCGTAGTCGAACTCATCGCTGAGACGTCCCTCCACTTGGGATTAGAAGCACTGGCCTTCATCCATTACGGAACCGGCTTGATGTCCGAATCTTCCTGCTATGCTACACATATAGGCTGTCCTTCCACTCATTGCTGAGCTAGTCTTTCCTGAGCATCCTCACAGATACCATTTCCTTACCCTCTTGCCTAGAACAATGCTTGCAATCTTCAAGACAAGGTCTTCTTGACAATGCATCTGCGTTGCCACGAGATTTCCCGCTGCGATGGGCGATCACAAAGTCGTATTCCTACAGTAGGCCAAACTATCTCGCAACTTGTACTTCTGGATTTTCGTACTGAAATAGCCATTTCAGTACAGCATGGTCAGTTCGTAAGTGAAATATCCGCCCCAGAAGAAATTTGCTAAAATTCTGCAAAGACTTTACCACAGCAAGCAATTCCCGTCTTGTGACGCAATAGTTCCTATCCGACTTTGACATAGACTTGCTGAAATATGCTATCACAACCTTTTAATCACCATTCCGTTGAGACAACACACCGCCAAGTCCTATATCACTTGCGTCTGTGTCAACTATAAACTCCTTGCCCGCATCAGGGCACCCCAAAATAGCTATTTTTGCACAGACGGTCCTTGAACTCCTGGAATGCAATATCGCAACTTTCATTCCAACAGAAATGTCGCTTCTCTTCGGTTAGCTTGTGCAGAGGTTTGGCTATATCTGCAAAGTTCTTCACAAATCGCCGATAATAAGAGCACAAACCCAAAAATGCTCTAACCTGTGTCTTGTCTTTTGGAACCGGCCACTCCTTGACAGCAGCAATTTTCTCTGGATGCGTGCGGATACCGCCTTCCGACACTACATACCCCAAAAAACTAACTTGCCGTTTGAATAGTGAGCACTTCTTCGGACTCAACTTGAGGTTGGCACTCTGGATCTTCATGAGCACGCGTTCCAGGTTTTGAAGGTGTTCCTCAAACATACGGCCTACGATGATGATGTCATCTAAATAGACCAGACAGGTATCTCCAATTAGCCCGGTAAGTACAAGCTCCATCAACCTTTCAAACGTTGCTGGAGCATTGCACAATCCAAACGGCATGACTTTAAATTGCCACAGACCCTTTCCTGTGGAGAATGCAGTTTTCTCCTTGTCCTTAGGGTCAATTTCAACCTGCCAGTAGCCACTTTTAAGGTTCAGCGTACTAAACCACTTTACGCCTGTAAGCATGTCCAGCGTGTCATCAATTCGTGGCAAGGGATAGCTGTCCTTCTTCGTAACGTCCTTTAGACGGCGATAGTCAACACAAAACCGCATGTTGCCGTCCTTCTTCTTTAGAAGCACCACAGGTGAACACCATGGACTAGATGAAGGTTCAATAACACCATCCTTCACCATTCCTTCAACCATGGTTTCCACTTCCTTTTCACATGCTATTCCATGCTATTTCCAGCATCGTTTGACGAGAAAACATCGGCGTACTTGAATAACGACTTCTTCGCCTTGACCATTTAATTCGGAGAGAGAACGCTGTGACAGTTTTCTAAAAGTGTGGTTACTCTCGTTTGTGCATCCTTGCTGGAGGTCCCAGTTGATAGATACTGGCACCGATGCAACCAATCCACTTCGTCACTAGTACCAACCAGTGTGCCTTTTTCTATAATCTGTTCCTGATCACAAAGGTTCAAACACACGTACTCCTGAGATGTCGGTGGTTCTGTCCATGGTTCGAGCCACTTTTCATGGAAGGTCATTGTTTACCCTTTCCACGAGTACACAGCGATGAGCTTGCCCAGGATTCCGAGGAAGACTAACCGGCACAATCGTTTCCGATCTCGGCTGAAGAACAATCTTCTTCAGGCTGTACACATTCCCTGGTAACGGCCCTTCCACGAAAAGTTCCACTTGTCCACATTTTAGAACACGTTGCTTAACGTCGATCTCACAACAATTCTTCCTCATTAAGTCTGCAGTATGCAGCCTAGGATGCAGTCATCCGTTATATCAGCCACGATGACATTATGCAGGTAGATCATGTTGCCTAACTTCAACTCCATCTCCATCTCTCCACGGACGGGTATTCGCTGACCGGTGACTGTCACCAAATGAATGCGTTCTCGGTTGTATGCGGAGTTCCCAAGGAACTGACTTATAGGTTGGGAACTGACAACCGTGTGAGAGGCTCCAGTGTCTATGGTCAGTTTACACGGCGTTCCGTTGACCTCGCCCGTGATGTTTAGGCTGTTCCCATCATGGGTTTGTGAGATCGAAATCCTTTGGGCTCTTTTAACATCAGCCAGCACCTGCCCCGCAGTCCTGGCTTTTACTCGTTCGCGCAACAGCAGGAGCTGCTGCTGGGCGGTGTTGTTAGCCGCACTACAACTCTAGAGATCGATCACCTTCCCTTTCTACAATTCGCTTAGGGCAGCTGGATCGAAAATAGTCCCTTTCCTCACAGCCGTAGTACCTATGGCTGTATCCTTTATTGCGGTCGCGGACTGTAGCTGCTGCAACCTCAATGACGCGATGGGAACGATGATCCTTCGGCATGGTCTCCAACTCCTGTGCATGGGCCAAGACGTCCTTCAAGGTCACGGATGCCGTCGATGAATGTCTGCACCAGGTTCCCTACAATGAGCGCAGGTACAAACTGGTATGCTTTTCGAACCAGCTTCTTAACCTCAAGGGCCCACTGCTGCAGGTTTTCGTTGCTGCGTTGCACTCAATCTTTGAGCTGCGTACGAAGGACGTGTTCCAGATGAGCGCACCACTTTTCGCCTCCAATGTCTCAAGGAACTGTTCGGAAGTCACTTTCTTACCGAGAGCTTCCAGAACAGTTAAGGCCTGGTCGCACAGGCCTAGGCCTATGAGAGCAGTCATGGCCTGAATCTTATTCCAGCCGTTCGTCGTCATGACAGCCTCTAACTGGATTTTGTAGGCTGACCAGGAAGAAGTCCCGTCAAACAGCAGCACTTTCAATTCACGTAGGAAAGGTGCTGTAGCTACCACGGGAGCTGTATTTCCATCCCCAAGTTTGAGGTCGTCCAACGTTTTCTTCACGTCAGCCATCACGTTGTCAACCCGATTGTCGACTTGGTCGATTCGGGTTTTAGCTTCCGACAGGGGGTTGTTATGTTGAGCAACCCTATCCTTCACCTTTCTTATCTCTTTCCCGAAGGTAGCGTGAAGGTCCTTCATGAGGAGCATCTGCTCTTCCTTATCGCGTTTGAGGTGCTCTTCCAAACGAC